CTCTCTCTCTCTCTCTCTCTCTCTCTCTCTCTCTCTCTCTCTCTCTCTCTTCCTCCTCTCTCCCCGTGCCTCTGCCAAGCCCCTCCACACCGGCTTTATATGTGAGGGCCGATTTCCCGCAGACATCATTGTTATGATGGCTCATTTAATCAAACTGTTTAATTGCTCTGGTAATCACTATCATCATCACAGGTGCTCAATCATTCATCATTTTTGGAGGGCTTTATTGACCTCCGGAGCTCATTCCCCAGCCCTAGGAAAACGAGGCCAAATTTCCGCAGACTCCTCTCGGAGTCTCGGCAGGCAAGGGGTCTTAGCTAGCTTGGGATGCCCGGAAGCTTCAGAAGAAACCAAGAAGATGTCAAAGAGGGAAAAAAAAGAAAAAGAAAAAAAGAAACAGAAAAAGAAAGAAAGAAAAAAAATCCCTCCACTCCCCCCCCCCGTCTCCTCTCTCCCTCCATCTCTGTCTCTGTGTGTGTCCGTCTGTCTGTCTGTCTCTCTCTCACACACAGACACACACGCACACACACTCCACTTTACTCTTCCTAACCACTCCCATCCACCCCCGCCCCCCACGAGAAAGTCCAGTCCAAGCCACCCGAGCTGGAGGCGCCGCTTTGCTGCGTTACAGAATGGGTTCAGAGTTGGGGAGGGAGGCCGCGGTGGAGCAGCACACTCTGTGTGCGGGGTCTCTGGGCCCGGGGCTGGGAACCCAGGGCAAAGGGGTGAGAAGTTGGGGAGAGGGCGCGCTTCCCGTGCGCGGCTGGGTCGAGCAGCCAGCTGCCGGGTGGCGGCGGGGCGAGCCCGGCCCCGCGCGCCGGGTGACCGAAGCTCCGCCCCCAGCCCTCCGCGGGGCCTGATTGACGCGCAGCCGCGGGGAAACAGCAGCTCGGAGGTAAAGCCAGCTGGAGCTGGGATTGGGCGGGACCCCGGCCAGAACGAGTTTCTATCAAAACCTTGTCTGCTATTTACCTTCCTAACCCCACTCGCCTTCCTTCTCCTTGGGGGGGGGGGGGGGAGAAAGTTCCTCCTCTCGGGAGCCAGGGCCATCATCCCCTTCCAGAGAAACCTGCCCGGGGTAATTAACTCGGCCCTTAGCCCTCGCTACCGCTGACCGGCCGCTGCGCCCGGGGGCAGCCACAACAAAGCTGGCCGGCTAGCTCCAGCCACTCCTCGCGAGCATCTCCTCTCCTCTCTGCTTTTTAACCTCTCTCCTCCAGATCCAAACCCACTTTAGAGGCGCACAGCGGGCGAGCGCTCTCTCTCTCTCTCTCTCTCTCTGTCTCTCTCTCTCTCTCTGTCTCTCTCTCTCTCTCTCTCTCTCTCTCTCTCTCTCTCTCTCTCTCTCGCACACAGTCCGCTCCGCCGTCCCGGTAAACAACAAACAACTCCTTCTCCGCTAACTCCTACCCGACTAACTCTCACCCCACTTCCTCCCTCCAGTTTTCCGCCCAGGACCCCCTCGACTCCCGGAGGTGGTCCACAGTCTACGGGGACCTACGCTCGGAGTTCAGCTGCTCCCATCTTGTAGTAGGAAAGAAAAAAAAAAATGAAATGAATGTTGACAACAAGGGGCTCGGCGTCTGCACGAGGAGGAGGAAGAAAGTACCACTTTACCAACAGAGAACAACAACAAGAATAACAACAACAACAACCAATAATAATAATAATCTAGCCCGGCGGCGGTGCGGTCGGCCGGGCTTGCTGCTCTGCGTGCTCGGCGGCAGAACTCGGGACCTAGCCATCCGCCGGCAGGAGAGGAAGGGGACCGCGGAATTGACGCGAACAAAAGCCAAAGCGCCATGCCCAAAATCCCCAGCGCGACCCAGTTAGGCAGGAGCCAAAAGGAATGGTGGGGAAATAAACTGGAAGTAAGTTGAAAAAAAAAAAAAATCAAGAGGAGCCGAGGCTGTACCGTACTGTACTTTCCCTGTGGCTTTCTGCAGTTTTCCCTGTCTGCGCTCTCCCTGTCCTCTTCCACCTCTCTCTTCCTCCCCCCCATCTCCAATCACGCGTGTTCTCCCTCTCTCTCTCTCTCTCTCTCCCCCCCTCTCCCTCTCTCTGTGCCTCCCTCCATCCCTCCCTCCCTTCCCCCTCTCCCCCTCCCTCATCCCCCCTCCCTCCCCTCTTCCTCCCCCCTCCCTCGCCGTCCCCCTGGAGAAGCAGGCTTGCTGATTTGCTCCGGTCGTCCCCGCTCCAGCCTCCCCTCCCCCCCCAGCGGCTCCCCCCCACCCCCCGCCCGCCCGCCGCCGCCGCCGCCGGGGCCGTCCGACCGCACTCGCTGCATATCAGAGGCTCCGCGCCGCGCGCTCCTCCTCGCTCCAGCTCCCCGCTCCCGGGATGTGTCTCCGCCGCGCGCCGGGCTATGGCCACCGCGACTTCCGGGTTCCGTCATTCCGCTCTCCCGCCGCCGACCCGCGCCGCCAAACTGAGCCTCTACTATAAGCCGGGCTGCAGCCAACCTGCCAACACCTACTGACACTCACTCATCTCCCCGGGAGAGAGAGAGAGAGAGAGAGAGAGAGAGAAAGAGAGCGCGAGCGAGCGGGCGCGAGTGAGAGCGAGCGAGGGAGAGACAAAATACCTAGCAGAGAAGGGGGGAGGAAGTCCAATTTTTTTTGCAAACTATTCATTTTTTTTCCTTGATTTTTCCCCCCCTCCTGGCTTTCTTTGAACAATACTTTAAAGAGAGAGGATCGTATTAGAGCTATTTTGGGGCAAAGCTAAGAGGGGGGGAGGGGGGAGGAAAGATTCAAGAAGCAGAAACCCCTCGCGGAGTTTTACTGGAAGAAAAAAAAAAAAAACAAAAAAACGGGTCTGAAAGATTGCTCCTCTTCATCATCATCAACCATCATTCATTCACTACCTTGACATTCCGGGCTTTGATTGACAGCTGGAGTGGCAAAAAGCCATGAAACTCGACAGTTCGGTTACATGTGGGCTGCTGACTGGCCGCTCATAACCTTCAGTTCGGGGGCTTGACAAATTTTTTTTTCTTCTTCTTTTTCTTTTTCTTTTTTTTTTTCTTTTTTTTCTTTCTTTCTTTTTTTTTTTTTTTTTTTTTTTTTGGCAACTGAGAGATCAAGAAGAGAAAGAGGGGCAAAGGAGGACCGAAGAGGAGCAGGAGGGGAGGGGGAGGAGGTGGAGGAGGAGGAGGAAGATCAGGAGGAGGAGGAGAAAGAAGAGGAAAAAAAAAGAAAGAGAGAGAGAAAAAGAAGAAGAAATACCATTGAAAAAAATTCTTCGTTTTCTTGACCGGGCTTCCCCTACCCTCCCCCCTAAAAATAACATTGGAAAATTGGGAGAAGTCTCCTTGGTTTGGAAAAAAAAGAAAAAAAAAAAAAAAGGACTCTTCAACCTAGCTCACTTTCTTATCCGGACTGGGACATTAAATAGACGACACTTCCAGGAGTTTATTGGAGCGCAGACTGATGGCGCAAAGGGTAGGTTTAAATCTCCAACACTTACCTCGATATAAATCCTCTCCTACAGGGCCCTGCCCCGCGCCTCCTCTCCCTCCGAGCCGGCTGCCGCCGCCGCCGCTGCTCCTTCGGTGATGGCGGCCAGTCTTTAAAATAATAATAATATAAGAATAATAGTAGCAAAATTATTCGCCGGCTTCTTTTCACCACCCCCCCCCCGGGCTTCTGCGTGTGTGTGTGTGTGTGTGTGTGTATGTGTGTGTGCGTGCGTGTGTGCGTGTCTGGGCGCGCGTGTCCCAGCGCTGTTGCGAGCGGGCGGGCGGGCAGCGAGTGCATGCGAGTGGAGTGGAGTGTGTGTGTGTGTGTGTGTGTGTGTGTGTGTGTGTGCGCGCGTGTGTGCGTGTGCGCGCGCGTGTGTGCGGTGTGCGTGTGTGGACGTGTGTACAATTGTTACTCGCTTTCGCCTGGCTCCAGCTTTTTTTTTTTCTTCTCCCCCATCCCAACCCCCCCGGCGGCGCGATTCCCCGGCTTCTCCTCCTGCCGCCGCCGCTGCGCCCCTTTCCGCCGCTTGCTCGCGCGGCTCCAGGCGGGCGCGGGCTGCGGAGGAGCCGCCGCCGCCGGGGCCGCGCCGCCTAGACTAGCCTGGGCCGCTTGTTTTGTCTCTGAAATTGACAAGGACGCGGGGAACCCGCTGCTAGATAATGTTTCTGGTAACTTTTACGCTATTCCTCTCCACCCTCTGCTCCCAGCCCCCCGGGGAGGCACCGGTCCCAGCTTCCCCCTGCACTTTGGCGTTCTCGGCCTGATTTTTTTTTCTTCTTCTTCTTCTTTTGCTCCCTTCTCGTTATTTTGTTTCATTTCGCCCTTTGATTTATTGGATCTCCTGGAGGAGGCGAAGGGAGGGGGCTAGGGGTGGGATCCCGGGTTTTCCTCAGCTTCTCCCTGGGTTGGCTCGCTGGGGTTCTTGCAGCCTCCGGCGGGAGCCGGGCCTCCCGGCGTCCCCGGCCTCTCCGCCTTCACCTCCCTTCTCTGGATGCCGGTCCTCAGCTCAGACTTTTTCCATTTACAACGTTACAGACCTCCTCTCCCAACTTTCAGCTGCGTGGTTTCTGCTGGTTTGGTTTGTAGTGTGTTCAACTTGTGCAGGGTACTTTTTCTTCTTTCTCACTTTGTTTTTATTTCTCTCTCTCTCTCTCTCTCTCTCTCTCTCTCTTTTGCTCTCTCGCTCTTCCCCCCAACCCTCGGTCTTACTCCCTCTCCCCCTCATCTCTACCCCATTCCCTCTCCGCTCCGGGTTCCTTCGCCTTCCTGCCCCTGCCCTCCTGGGTTTCCCTCTTACTCTCTGTGCCACCGTCCCCCCCCCCACTCCCACCCCCCTGTGCCGGGCTCTGACAGTACGATGAGCTGCCCCATTACGGCGGGATGGACGGAGTAGGGGTTCCCGCTTCCATGTACGGAGACCCTCACGCGCCGCGGCCGATCCCCCCGGTTCACCACCTCAACCACGGGCCGCCACTCCACGCCACGCAGCACTACGGCGCGCACGCCCCGCACCCCAATGTCATGCCTGCCAGCATGGGATCTGCTGTCAACGACGCCTTGAAGAGAGACAAGGACGCGATCTACGGGTAAACCGACCCCCGGACCCAGCTTACTGTGTGTGAGTGTGCGTGAGTGCGTGTGTTTGTCTTTGGTGGTGGTGGTGGTGGGATGGACAGGGAGGCTAAGTGGGGACTTAATTCTGCACGGGCTTGGGGGGGAGGTTGCTGCTTGCAATAGAGAGAGACAGGGAGGAAGCTCTTTGGGCCGCTTGAGCGAAAGACCAGAAGACAGAACCTTCCCTACTCCCTCGGTTCGGCCTCTCCAGACCCCACAGTCCTGGATGAGGACTGAGTCCTCAGATTTTGCTGGCCCGGCCTTCTCCCCAAGGACAAGATTCCTGGCCAAAAGACGCACGGCTGGTTGTCTCAGGCTGCCTAGCAGAGGCCTGGACTAAGAGGAAAGTTTTCTGCAGCCGAGGAGAAACTTCCAGTTCCTTTTCCTTTCTTCCTTTCTCCCACTCTTTCTTTCTTTCTCTTCCTCCCCTCCCCTTTCGGCTTCCTACCGAAGGCCTGGGAGTCACTAAACGCAGCTTGAGCTGGAATCAGGGCAGCTTCTGTCGGCCAGGAAGTCCTAATCACTCACTTCTTAATTCTCTGTAAATAAAGGGGGCAGAGCTTGAAGTGCAGCCGGGTGGAAGAGACGGCCGCCTGCACACTGCCGTTCTTGGGGCGGGGGGGGGGGGGGGCCAGGGAAATGGCTGGAAATTATTTTATATTCGCAGAGCTCGGGGAGGGGTGGCCGAGCATGGTCCCAAGCTTGTACTACCCGGGCTCTTCCGGCCGAGGGTAGGTGGGGAAGGCGGCGGGATGCCGAGGGGAGGGGACAGTGGGTAAACAGCAACTGAGCCTAAAGCCTGAGGCCTCAAGCATCCCGAGGTGTAGAGCCAGCCGCTTGGAGGAACACAAAGGGCGAATGCGCCCGGCACGTACTCTTCCAAGTTTGGAAACGCCGTTTATTTATGCTGGTGCGCGGCAAAGCCGGGGGGGGGGGGGGGAAATGTGGTCTTTGGAAGGAAGCTCTTTCTTGGTTTAACATACTTATTATTTGGGCCCTACCCCTGGTGCTTTACTGGAAACAGAGCAAACACGCTTCTAAAGCGAAGGGTGGTGGAGAAATGAGAACACTTTCTCAAAACTGGGAAATGTCACTCTTTGGTGGACGTAGGTGAAGCCCCTCGGCCTTGTTTGAAATGCCCGTTAGATCCATTCGGGTTTGGGGCCGTGGAGAGAGGAGGGTATCAAATAGCGTTCCCCGTCCTGGGTTGGTGGCAGGCGCCTCTGAAGTGAGGAGTGGGGTCAGGATCTACTCCGAGCTCTAAAAATTGTCCGGGCTTCTTGGTTATTTCATTACGTCCCAAATGAGTATGTGTCAGACTTGGAGGGCCAAAGTGGCCCGGGGGTGGGAGGGTGGGGGGCTTCCCAGAGCTGATCAGAAAAGACCTGTGAACCGAGGGGGGGGGGAAAGCCATGCTGTTTCCCTTTCTGTTTGTGGCCCAGGCTTGGCTGACTGAGGGTGCAGTGTGTTGCGTGCCTGCTGTGGTTAAAGAAGAAATGCAAACCCTCGAAACTTGTTGATTACAGTTCTCACTCCTTCCCCTCTGCACCCCGTCTCCGTGCGTGTGTCTCTGCGTGGCGCTGCCCGTTAGGCACCCGTTGTTTCCTCTGTTAGCGCTGGTCTTTGAGAAGTGCGAGCTGGCGACCTGCACTCCCCGGGAACCCGGAGTGGCCGGCGGAGACGTCTGTTCCTCCGACTCCTTCAACGAGGACATCGCGGTCTTCGCCAAGCAGGTCCAACCTTCTTGACCGGCTCGCCCCCACCTCCATCACACACACACACACACACACACACCCTCCCCAACCCCCAGCCGCCCTTCACTCTCCCTCCCCTCTCCTCCAAGCTTGACTTGAAAGAGGAGGAAAAGGCTAGACACCCGATCTGCTCCTCTGGCCCACTCGGCGCTCCGCGCCTCCTCCCCATCCCTCAGCCTGGAGGCGAATTGGAAACGGAGATAAATATGGGTGTTTGTTTTTCCCCCCAGCCAGGAATACAGGGGCTCGACCCTCGAATTAAAGTTGACCTGCTCCTAATCTGGGGCTTGGCCTTTTCCCCCGCCTGCAGCTACTTGAACAAGAATTGGGGAGAAGGGCTGGGAGGGACCCCAAGAGTGCCCTCGGGCACCAGGGTGCTGGAGGTGGTGAGAGCCGGGCTCTGGCCTGGGTGCAGAGGCGGGTGCTGAGGTCTGCCAGCCGCCTTAACCTACCCCGCTACCTCTGGAGTAGGACACCGCCCATCCCACCGGGTCAGGACCTGAAGGCCCTGCTGTTTCTCCACCGGCCCCCCTCACTTCAGACACCGATATGGTTCTTGGATTTTATCAAAGCCCCCTGCCCTCTCCTCTGCCCCTGCCCTTCCAGGGTACCGGGGTCCCACAGTCCAGATCAGTCGCCGACAGGATTTTTTTTTCTTCTTTTTAAATGGGCCGAAGACTCAATTCTGACTTTCTCTGCTTCCCATAGGTTCGTGCTGAAAAGCCTCTTTTTTCCTCAAACCCAGAGCTGGATAATTTGGTAAGGCTCGCTGTTGTGTTTGTTTTTTGTTTTTGTTTTTGTTTTCTCTTCTCCTCAGCCTCGGGCCAGATCCCCAGCTCAGTCTCACCCATTTGCTCCTGGAGCTCCAGGGAATTACAGCAGAACCCTCCTAGGGGAAAGGGGGGGTACCTATTTAGAGCCCCTAGGGTGGTGGGAGCGAGCCGGGGGAGGTAGGACCTTAGGGGATGAGGAGCCCTCCGAGGAAGCAGCGGGCGCCGTGGCGCCTAGCCGGTAGAGATGCTTCTCAGGTCTCGGCCTCGGAGTAGGCGGCTAAAAGGGAGTGATTTCCTCTGCGGGCAGGGACCAGCGCTGGAGTCCCAAGCTGCTGCTCTTAAGGAAATAACAGCTCGTATGGACTAGGGCTGGCTGTGAGTGGGTTGGGGGTGAGGGGCTCTCCGGGCGCAGGCCACTTTTGGGTGCGATTCTTTTGCTAATTTGCAGGATTTCAATATTAAAAGTACTTAAATCCGCTTTCAAAGGCCCTGCTTCCCCATTCATCTGGAGTATTTCCTTCTTCTGAGAGGAGGCTTGCTCCGGGTTTGTTGTTCTAAAAAGCCTTTCTGTCCAAAGAATGTCTCCGCTTCTCTTCTCTTCTCTTCTCTTCTCTTCTCTTCTCTTCTCTTCTCTTCTCTTCTCTTCTCTTCTCTTCTCTTCTCTTCTCTTCTCT